TCTGCTTCCTTTGGGCATGAGGATAAAAAAAAAAAAGTGTGTGTGTGTACAGGTAATTCCAGCCCCAATGGTGCTGGGTTTGCTCAGAAGGAATTTCACATTGAGTTTGTCCTACAGGGTGCCTGTGAGGCTGGGGTCTCTAGGTGCAACTGTCTCCTCCCAAGCATGCTCACCAGAAGCTCCAACCAAATTTTTCTGTATATCCCATCAACCCTGTGAAATTTTCACCCTCACTTCTAGAGGTCTCCAAAGGAGCCCCTCTGGGAAGCTGGGCACGGTGACGAGCGCACTGGCCAAGCTTCTTTTTCTGACAGTGGAGCACGGCCCCGTGTGTTAAAAGCCCAGGCAATGGGAAGGACGCCTCTTCTGTGAGCAGGGGAAGCCATGCCAGAGGCAGACCTTTGAATTGGGATTGCCGGGTGGGGGGAGGAGGCCTGGGATCCTCTCTCCTGGAGCACAGAGAAACATCCCTCTTCGGGAGGCAGCCGGGCGGCAGATGGCCGGGCTGCGGTGCTGAGCTCTTGGGGGGTGTATCATTTCTCTGACTGTTCTGGATGCTGATATCCATGTTAGGGAGGAGCCCCTCCTTCAACTTGCTCACATCTTCTTTATGCCCTGATTTTTTTGCAGCTGCTAGTAAAGATCATAGGGAACTTGAGCTGCACCTCGCTGGTACTCATGTGGATTGTCTGCCGCTATTCGTCCCCTTTGACATTGATGTGCTGGGTTGCATCCTTCCCTGTGCCCCAGATTTCATTTTGTATACATAGAGTTCCTCAAGGTATGATTAAAACTTTCAACCACAGGTGTGATTCAGCTTTGGCCCCTTTTCTATTCATTGCAAAAAATGTAGTGACCTCTGACAATGACCCTGTGATTTCAGAGCATAGCCAGGGACAGGACTAAGAATTGCTTTGGGCTCACGAGAAATCACCCGCATCCACCTGGGATGTATCACAGATAGGCACGTACTATTCCACCACTTCGCCACTACAGCTATCTAAATTGCTTTGCAACTGCAAAGTAAGGGATGTTGTGACAAGTGAGGGAAACTTTGTCTCAGTTTTCTGAAATATTAATGGTGCTGGGATGGGGACAAAGATGGTGGAATGGATGAAGTTTTACAGTTACAAAGTATGCTAAAGTAACTTTTCTGACCTCTCGTTGGTGATTTCTGTAATACCTTTCCTTGGTTAATGAGCTGTATGGAAGATGTTTTTGCTGTACGGCATGGGGAGGTAGAAATGATTGAGATACAGTGACAAGCACTGGGGCTCATGGTGTCACACTTCTAAAAAAATTGTTTCTAGGAAGAGTTTGTTTCTAGGAAGAGTTGATTTTCCTTTGGATATGCACTCTGAAACAGAATGTGTCTGTGTCCCAGTCCATCTTCCTTGGGAATGCTCTGATTTGTAGAGGAAGGACATTGCTGACTTAACGTTGCCTCTGCTGGTCAAATGTTAAAAGTCTCTGTGATGCTGAGAACCTCTAGAGAAAGAGCCACATCTGTCTCCTCATCTTAGTGATTTCCTCCTTGCCTTCTTCCCACCTACAAAATGGTTTTCAGAGGTCTTCAACTGCAGCAGAGACTCTGTAGGACTTGCCACACCTGCAGGTGTATTACTGTCCTATTTGTGAGCTTGAAAAAAGGGTGTATGACAGACTGCATCTGGGTCATTCCACTCCTGGACCCTGTCTGTCTGATTCCTGGTTTTGAATTTTATGGATCATGCTAAACAGTTAGTCCCAAGCATTTCTGCTTTGCACAGGGAAGAACCCTGACGGCAGGGTTCTCGCAGGTTGCTGTGGACCCTGCAGATTTTCTGCTCCAAACCAAGAGGACTGTTACAGAAACCTTTTTCAAAGGAAATTTAATTGAGACAGGCTAAGTGAGACTAACTGTAGGTGTAGCAGACAGGTTGAAGATGAGCACTCCACATTTGGCTGGAGAAAAGAGGCTGGCCCCCGTGAAAAGGGAAAATATAAATTGGGTAAGATTGAGCATGATTTGGAATGCCTTGAGACATCTGGTTCCCATCTCTGGTTCTCTTTTCTATCCTTATTCAAAGCGACAAATGCACAGTGGCTGTCTTTGAAAATTGATGGGGGTAGGAACTCAAAGTACTCTTGAGTACAGAGCTTGTAATGTATCGGACACTGGGTGGATGGCAGAAATTTCTAGTGTTAGCCACTTATGTGAAAGTCAAACCAAATTGGTTAAGTCAACAGAGCCAGTCCCCAGGGAGAATGAGAGTTACATAGCAAAGATTTCAGATGATCTTTTGGAATTGAGGAGCTTCCTGGATTAGTTTTCTTTGAGAACAGCCAAAATGGTAGAGCAAGATAAGTGAACTCATGCAAGCAGTAAAATTATCTGTCTGATCCATGCCTTTCATTTTTTTTTTTGGTAGAAAAAGATTTAGCCAGAAAAATAGGAGCAGATAAAGCCCTGTTACTTTTGTTGCTTCTTCCTGGTATCCCATGTCACCCACTAGTTTTTCAGGATCCTAGGGAAACTGTTTTTTCAGTCAATTTTATTGGAAACGGCCAAAGGCTCTGTATCAGAGCTGATGAAGTAATCTTCTGCCTTGAGCTCTGACAGAGTTGAACAACTGAACTTGGGGGGCTGAAATCTGAATGCTCTCTGAGAGTCATTCCCCTTCCACGACAGACTGAGCTTCCAAATACAGGTGTTGCTTTCATGCTTTTGGGAAAAGATATTCTCATCACTGTTTCTATTCTTGAAAGCTAGAGTCGGATCTGTCCTTTTTTAAAATTTTTTTGTTTGTTTTGTTTTAATCTAATAACTTCGGTAAATATTTAATATTTAACCTGTGTGTGATCAAATAGCACTCTTAAAGATTAAAAGTCTGCAAAGAGAATCTAGTATCACACTTTTTACCAAGTTGAAGTCCTTGCTGCAAGTTGGATTGGGTCTTGAGATATGTGAGGAAGGCACTGTGGGAATGCACAGCTACTTCAGGTAGGTGTACTGGGCACTGAATATCTCATTTTAAAAAAGGATAGTTGCTGTGGTTTTCACCCTAAAATTAGTACTCGAGACAGCACAGAAATCATTTAAGGAAACAGTCCTTTATTGTGTTGATTGAACTTGGTGAGTGTAGGGGACTGTTTGAAGTTGCATTTGTTTGATTGATGATGTTACGGGGGCAAAACAATGACACTTGGAAATACCAGTGCTTTGCTTGTGTTATGCAGAAAAGAGCAAACTCCAGGCTGCAGAAGGCACTAGATCCAGGTACATTCAAGCATCTGTTGTTAAATACAACCAGAGGGCTGGTAACAGTCATGCGGTGAGAGGAGTTATCTCAGGGAGGTCATTTGGCGTCAGAAAGACTGCTGGTGGGGAGTGATCTTGCAGGGTGGTAGTATCAACTTCTCTCTACTCAAGGAGGAAGGGGAATGCTGCCAGGTGGACATGGCTTGAGGAATCATGTGGCATCTGTTCCTTCATTCTTGTAGTTGTCCTTGCAAAGATGTCCAGTCTTTACCAAACGTGTGAAGCCCCCTGTCTAATAGCTAACTTCTTGTTGACTTTTAACAATCTTCCTCCAGTTGGATCACGGTCCTCTATCTCTTTGTTCAAAAATAATAGCTTTTGTAGTAGTTAGCAATTTCTCAGGCAAATGCAATTCTGTAGTGTTGGCACGGTTCCATTAATCATATAGAGTAAGCCGTTTGTGCCAAAAACCTATCAAGTTGAGCTGCCTTTTTGAGAGCTGGTGGGAATGTGTACCCAGTGGTGTTCTTGCTGGCATATGGACTTCCCGTGTGTGCAAGAATGGCTGGGGCATGGGGGGGTCCCCCTTTGCTGTGCTCAAGGTACGCAACTCCAGCAGGCTGAGAGAGCATGGCAAGTCTCAGGACTCAAAGCGATATGTCCAGATCTTGACCAAGTTTTGCTTTTAGGGATACATGGCATCACCAGCCCTTTTTCATTCCCTCCACTGAATTTTTAAGCAGCCAGAATAAGGACTTAGGTCTCCTTAAAATATAGACAGGAGTTCTTTTAGCCTTAAGCTCCATCAGCAGTCTAATGTGTGTCAGAGAGGGATATTTACCCTCAACACCAGATGGTAAGAAATGTGGCCTTCCTTGGGTTGTATGGTGAACTGCTGTCAATGAAAGGGCGACTTAATGTGGCCCAGAAAGCAAATGAGAAAAGTCATTTTAGTAGCAGTGTTTATGAAGAGCTTGAGTGCTCATCTTGATCATCTGGGAGACCAGAGAGGAGAGAGTCCTCTGGGTTGAACCTTGTTTGGCGGGTATGCTCATGTTGGGAATGAGCCTTGCTGTGTGGCAGAGTGCATTAATCGGGCAGTTTAAACATCCCGCCAGAGCCGCTGGTGGAAGAACAGGCAGAAAGTGGCAGCATCTTTGAGAATGGAGGGAGAGGAGAATAGAGGCCACAACAGGAGTATGGGAATCATACAGCAGCAAAGCAGGGAGGAGACAATCAGCTATGGAAAGTTTCAAGGCACTGAATCAGGGCATGGAAAAATATGTAAGAGCAGGGGCTCTTAATGGCAGATGTGAGGAGCAAATGGAAAGCTGAAGAAGAGGGTCTCTGCGTGAAAGGGGGAGAAGCGGAATGGGGTCAGGTTTGACTGCTTTGTTTGTATCCTATAAAGGGTTGATGTCAGTACTAGCACAAAGCACTGCCCATTGGGATAGAAAGGGGATGGGGCTGAGTTGGCATCATATTTAGCTTGTTCTTTCAGCTTGGAAAGAAATAACAGCAATGCAGAGTCCTGTAAGCTGTATCCGTATAACGTGAAATCCCGTGGTGTTGCAATGAGATTGCTGTGTTTTGGGAATCTGAGTTACAGAGCTGCACCTAACCATAGCTGTCGTGGGGCACAGTTTTCCTTCAAGTGTTAGCTGTGTCCGTGTTGTGTTTGTTCAAGTTGCTTCATTGCACCAGGTGTTTCTGGCATGGTGAATACAGTGAGCGTGTGGGACTTTGTTTCCTTGCTTAGATCCGAGACGTTTCACAGCTACCTGGAGGACATCATCAACTACCGCTGGGAGCTGGAGGAAGGGAAACCCAACCCGCTGCGGGAGTCCACCTTCCAGGAGCTGCCCCTGCGCACACGGGTGGAGATCCTGCACCGCCTCTGTGACTACCGCCTCGATGCAGATGACGTTTTTGACCTCCTCAAGGTGCTTTGGGCAGCAGGGAAAGGGGAAACAATGCGGTCAAAGGAGCTGGGCCAGATCAGTGAATCTTTCTGGGAAGAGAAGGGTTGACGCTATTAAGTGTATTTTAAGGCCAGGTACTCAGTGGGTCAGCAGTTCCCTGTCTCCTCTCCTGCCTTGCAGAAGACCCAAAGCAAGTGCGCAGGACTCTCTTGGGGCCCTTGTCCTGCACGGATGTGTTTGTAACACGGGAGTCACTAAGTAAATTGGCTTCATTGGCCACTCTTCCTGCAAAGAGGGAATTTGGAGATGCTCCAACTGTAATGGCAGGGCTGTGAGAGCCGAGACTGCCTTGCTTGAGGGATGGTGTGAGATGAAAGGATGGGGCTGAAGTGTACTGGGGGAGCTGGGGGAAGGGTGGTGGCAGGGAAGGGGGGAGGGAGCTTCTCAGGGCTGTGCATGACTGTCGCCAGCACTAATTAGACCTTCCCTGTCAGGAGCACCAGAGATGAAATGTTAAAATGAGAGAGGCCATTCAAATTAGAGATGCCAATCTAAATCCCTCCCTGGACAGAGAGCGAACGGTCACCTTCCCCCTGGAGTAACATTTTCCCAGCTCGGCCTGGAGGAGCAGCTGTACTGCTGCTGTGGCATGGTGGGAGGGGAGGAGGGAGGGAGGTGTTTGCAGAGGGGTGTCATCATGTTTTGTGTGACAATGTGGCTGCTTTTCAACTTGTCACCG